TTTGACAGTGAGGCGTAGTTCAGTAATATGCAAATGAGAAGCACCTATCAATACAGTTACCAATACAATAGCCGCCTCATACAGTTTTTTTACACTGCAGTCAAGTTTAAACTGATTGCACAGAGACACTGTGAACACCGTTTCAAGACACATGCACATGCTCTGAGCCGCTAAGTTGCAACCGACTAAGTTGCCTCTTCCCTGCCTGAGGCACAAACCCACCTGACAGTTTTTCACTATATTAAACTTATATTACCACTGCAAGCATTTGGTTAACAGCCACTGACCAACATCTGCGCTGAGAATGTCTAGTGGTCTGACTGATGTAATATTACTCTAGCAATTATGTGGTTTGTGTGTATTGCATCTGAATACACATCTGCATACTTTATATACAGTAGCTGAATTTTTAAAAAATGTCTTTACCAGTGTTAAAACCAATTCTACACCATTGAATCAAAGGGGAACAGAGAGTCATTCATGTCATTATAAGTATTGAGTGAGGAGATTGATTTCATATTTTAATATGAATGTGAACTGATTTGCATTTTAACTCTCACTATGGCACCGTGACCTCTGCCGACACTGTCGTTTGTCATATAGCACTGCATTAGTGCATGTGTTAGCTATATTAAATGTGATCCAGTTGAGCGGAGGGTCACATTTCTTTGTGGTCATGATTCGTGAGTCAGACACAACCGCACATTCCTCGACTCTTCTGCACCAGGAATGTTTGCTCTCTGTCTTTCCCCTCTCCTCTCTCCTTGGCAATCACAGCGGTCCCTCGGTCTGCCAGAACAGCCCTCTGGATATACAACAGCAACACTGTTCAGATGTGCTTAGAGGAAAAGACTCTTTTCCCACTCAACTACTCATGTGTAACCACTATTTTAACCACAGCTCCTGAGCACCTGAGGTTGATTGCATTTATACTGCAAAAAACTTTAAATCAGTATTTTGTTTTTCTTTTTTGTTTTCCAGTAAAAATACCTTAAAGGGGTCATATGATGCTTTTTTAAAGATCATTATTTTGAAAAAGGATTAATTATTTTAAGGTTTCCCTAAATTATTTAAAAAAATGAATTATTGACATAAATCTAATACAGTTTAATACGGTTTTGACTTAAAAGGTTTTTTAAGTCTTTCATGCTCACCAAGGCTGCACTTATTTGATCAAAAATACAGGAAAAACAGCAATATTGTGAAATATTATAAAGATAGTTTTTCTATTTGAGTATATTTTAAAATATAATTTACGTATTATAATGCAAAGTTTAATTTTCAGCATCATTACTCCAGTCTTCAGTGTCACATGATCCTTCAGAAATCATTCTAATATGATGATTTGCTGCTCAAAAACATTTTTTATTTATCAATGTTGAAAACATTTGTGCTGCCTAACATTATAAATGTCTTTACTGTCACTTTTGATTAATTTAATGCATCCTTGCTCAATTTCTTTTGAAAAAATGAAAAATAAAATCATTCTTACTGACCCCAAAATTTGAATTGTAGTGTATTTTCTCTGAAAAGTCTTCTTAGCTTACACCATTTTAGATATTTTTATTGCATGGAAAACAAGACTTTTTTTTTTTGTGCAATGTGTAAGCATGATTATATTTGCAAAAGCAAATATACTATCAATAAAGGAAACAACTTTTAGAAAGACCGAGATATCATAAGTTGGAGAACAATCATCAGAGACAGTGTAACAGCATCATGCTTGCAATGTTATTTTGGAGGTCATAGTTCAGCTGCAGGCATCTTGTACCCCATCTCTCATTGACTCTCTCCTACAGTACATTTTATGGCTCTTTTCAAGCCCTCCTGCCTGGTTGTCATGGAAACATATCTGCTTTTTGATTTGATTTAGCTAAAGCACGCTACAACGTTCATTCGTTTAAATGTCAGCATGGCTTCCCTGTAGAGAAGGAGATTCATTTATGCACGAGGCTCGGTTTTGTTCTCTCTCCTTTAATGCACCTCTGTTACCGCTGGTCCGCAGTAGTATCTACCTCTATTGCCGGGACAAAACTCTCTCAAATGAATATCCCATAAACTTTTAATATGCCAGCGCTGTGTCTGAAAGTCCTCTGATGACCTCATATGGAGCAGATTGTGATTAGAAATGATTGTTGATCTGTTTTAGACTCCCTCTGACCGTATTCCTCTGAAACTGCCAACATGAACGTAGAAAATCTCCCCTGGAAAGTTTGCTTACATTGTATGACTCATGCATGAGCTGGAAGGGGGAAGGGTCCGTCCATGTGTGTGTGTGTAAGTGTGTAAGTGTGTGTGTTGGAGTTAGTCAGGGTGGAACCAGCAATCACAGTTCATGGGAAAGGAAAGAACAGGCAAGGTTTCAGATGTGACGACACCCTTCTTGAACAGACACACACATATACACAAAGACTGCATTTGATTATAGTTGGACGCTAGGGAGGTTTTGGAAAGCAGGAGGGGTATTTCAGGAAACTCCTAAATCGTTACTCCAGCCACAACTTGGCAGCACGTGATTGGCTAGCACTGTATTCACATGACTTTGCTGTGCTGTGGAGACTGGGGTCCTGTAGCTGGGAACACAAAGAAAAAAGGCAGAGAAAGAGGAAAGACAATGGAATTTGAGGCAGATTCAGTGACCTTGCGCATAAATCAAACATTTCAGAGGTATGACCGGAGAGAAAGTTCAGTAGGACAAAAGAGTGTAAAGAGAAAGAGAACAATGTGAAAACACCAAAGATGTCTAATCTAGTTATGAACTGGGGATCCAGTGTCTATTTTAAACATGCACTTGAACACTTTCTGTGGCGTTTATACAGGATGCGTTCTTCCATTTCGTAGTGTTTTAAGATGCTGTGCATCAGGTTAAACATTGTAGAAACATGTTGAAATCCGTGCTCCATTTCATTGTGTTCAGTGTAGTTAAACGAAAGAACGCGTCCTGTGCGAACGGCCCATTAATTGTGCTGTAATCAACAAACCTAATATATGAGCTCCATCTGCTGGTCGAAGAGTGTAAATAACTTTTAATTTCCTTTTTGTTCAGTAATGTTTTATGGATGATGATGATTTAACCCTACAATGCTCAAAAGTTTTTTATATATAGTAAAATGGTAATATTGGGAAATATTGCAATTTAAAATAACTGTTTTATATTTTATTTTAAAATGTAATTTATTCCTTCCTATCAGAGAAAAGCTGAATTCAGCATCATTACTCCAGTCTTCAGTGTCACATGATCCTTCAGAAATCATTCTAATATGCTGATTTGCTGCTCGAGAAACCGTTAATTGTTATCATAAGTGTTGAAGACGGCTGCTTAATATTTTTGTGGAATTCGTGATACATTTTTCAGCTTTCTTTGATGAATAGAAAGCTTAAAAGTATAGCATTTATTTGAAATAAAAATATTTTGTAACATAAACGTCTTTTGATGCTGTCACTTTTTATCTTAAATTCTTTCGAAATAAATAAATAAATGATGTCATGTTTCTATCAACACTCACATTTGTAGTATAATTTAGTCCATTTGTTAATGTTGGCATATTAAACATCATGTTTATGTTCAAAGTTATATTTGTAATAATGTTTTAGATTTGTATGTTCTTATTTATATAAGAAATTAAATAGCAGTTTAAAAAGCAACAAAAACTAGTTTTCATTTAGCAGATATTAGTGCATAATATAAATTATCGTTAAAATGCATTTATTTACTGTTATAAATGGTTAAAAAAGGTAGGTATTATGTATTTATTAGCAGTGTTGGGAAGGTTACTTTGGATAAGTTAAATAAGTTACCTTATTTAAAATGTAATAAGAAGTTTAACTATTTTAATTACTTTAATAAAGTAATGTAACTGATTACATTTGATTACTTTTCTAAAAATTAAATTTCTAAAAAAAAATCTCAATTAATCATTTTCAAACATTTAGGGCAGGCAGAGTTAACCTTAAAGTAGTACTCAACTCTGATTACTGTCAGACTTTCAAAATCCTTCATCACTTGAATTAAAGATGATTATTAAATATTTTAATAATTTAATTTTAAAGCACATCCTTCACAAAACCAGACTTTAGCACCTCTTTTTAGTTTAAGATCGTTCTGAGGTTAAATACAGATTTAAAATCATAACAAGATATAGTTTAATAGCTACAATACTGTTTTTGAAATCAAATCTTTGCATGCTATGACACAAAACATTGGTGTCTCATATTTTAAAGCAGTCAATGCAATTTGGGAAAGAAATCATATCAGTGTGTGAAAATATTCCGATTTAAACCCCCTTTGTAATCATTAGCATTTTCAGAAGTAACTGTAACTTAATTACATATTTTTTTCTCAGTAACTGTAACAGATTACAGTTACATTTATTTCGTAATTAAATTACGTAACGCCATTACATGTTTATTAGATATGCTTTTGCACCTTGTGGGACACACATTTGTTAGCATGAGAGCTTGCTGTTCCAAATCTGTAGTTGTCCTAGTTTTGAAGGAGAACCGCTAGTTGTCAGGGAAACTGGTGGCAGGAGGCTCTCTCAGGAGTGTTTGGAGTGGAGAGAGTTCGGTCATTTTCGGAGATAGTTATCAATCTTCTGTCCCCAGACACCGACAAACACTGTGTGTGAGAGAGAAACAGCAAGTATAAGTGTGTTTGCCTATGTTTGTGGTGAAAGTGAATTTGTGGTCCTGTACCTGTGCTAGTTTCTGTTTCGAGAGCTTTTTAGTTTAGTGGCTGGTTTCATGAGATAGCAAACCACAAAACATCTTTTACAAAGAAAAAGTGAACGTTATGCATACTAAATATAGAGATGCAAGTTCGCGTTTGTATGTTATTATGATTAGGTGTTAACTGCACGTTAAAAAATATTAAAGTTAGCCGCAGTCGCCTTCTGGTGGTGAGAATCTGTATGTGCACATACTTATTTTATTTCTGCCCAGTACCTAATTAGAGTTTGCAGCTGTGTTTTATTGATGGTGTTTATTTCTGTGTGTTTCAGCAGGAGGCTCAGAGCAAATCAAAGGTGTGTGCTAATGTGTTCTGTGGTGCTGGGAGAGAGTGTGCCGTGAATGAGAAAGGAGAGCCCAGCTGTCTGTGCATTGAGGTAAGGCCTCTTTTCAAAGAAATTCATGAAAACCTTCTGGAAGAAATATGCAGGCTTTAGACTAGTGAACTTCCTTGACTTTTATTCCTTTGGATGACTGGATGAGGAATTTTAAACATTTCAGAGCGACTGCAGTCAATGCACTTACTACAAAGCAATTTCTAGCTGATGAAATATTTAAAGCGGAGTAAATCTAGAAAAAAAAGTATATTGATGCTGGAAATTTTAATGACTTTCAGACATTTTTGGTTTTGTATGACTGGGGAAACACTGAATTGTGAAAAGAAGTGCATTTTAGCCTACTTCTAAAAACAGATATACTCATTGTGGAAATAAAATCATTAAAAAATATATATACTTAAGTACAAACTGAATGTAACATTTACAGACATTTAAGTGCATGTTAATTGCAAATAAATTAAATCTATATTAAATGCAACTAGCTGAATTTAAGAGTGCTTTTTGGCATACTTAATAGGTCTTACATACATCTGTATATGTAATTTCATAATTGCTTGAATTTGCTTCTATTATATGACTCTGAAATATGGTTAAAGTGTACTAAACTAAAATATAATTTTATGCTATTTCTGTTGAAACTTGTATGTCATGTATTTAAATATATTTTTATTACACATTTTTAATTATGAAATTGCAGTTTAGTACATTGAAATAAATTAACTTTAAATGTAATAGCGATTAACATTCTTCAGTAAAATTATAATCAAGTACGTTATATGTGTTTTAGTATGTTAATCAACACATCAAAAAAAGTGTGTGTTAAAATGATTATAGATTATTGAAACAATGATTTAAAATATTGTTTGAGGTAAAACTTTTAATCTGACATTATTCCAAAGTGCACTTAAATGTTTTAGGAAACATTCATGAAAGTGTGCTCTCTTTAAGACTTCTATTTCATTAATAATATCTGCTCTTACAGTTTTTCTTTAATATACTGTACTTTTAAGATTTTCAAGTACACTACAAGTGCACTTCTTTCACCATCAATAAATCCTCACCATTAGAAACTTTTCCCTTTCCTGATGTTTTTCCACCGTCATAGCAAATATTAAGTTGATCTGCGTTGCTGACGCATTATTATTAGGCTTATTGTTAGAGTAGTTCTGAACAATGTCCTGAACAAAGTGTCAAACAGTTTCATATAATAACAGTAGTGTGTGTGGGATTGGGGTCATGTGTGATATATATACCATGTCGTGTGTCTACTCAGCTCAGCAGATTATACAGCAAAAATATTCCATATAACACACAGACATTCAGCCTATTGTCCCGCCACCAGCCGGCCCCATGCTTTCATATTATTACAGGCTTAATGTGGGCTTCCAGCCAGAGGCGTGAGAAACATTTAACTACAGCCACCGTGTAACATTCAGTCGTCATCCTTTTAATGTATATATACATTTTTCTTGCTTGCAAGGTTCAGATTTTGATGTGGCAGTTAATAGGAAATAGTTAAAATTGTTGTGTTGTTAACAGTATGTTGTGTTCTCCTGCAGCAATGCAAGCCTCATAAGCGCTCAGTGTGTGGCAGTAATGGAAAAACATACCGTAACCACTGCGAGCTGCACCGTGACGCCTGCCTTACTGGACTCAAGATCCAAGTAGCCCATGACGGACACTGCAAAGGTGTGTGGAGACTAACATGCAGGAAAACAGGAATGAACTGCAGGCATGCAAGCTAATATAGACTGGAAATTCCTTTCTGCTTCCTGTGAAAATTATTACATGTGCATTGCTTTTGCAAGAACTTGCTAAGATAGCCAAGATAGAAATATTATTCTTAGCTTAAGAACTAAGCTAAGATTTGTGAGTGACTCAAGTCTGATCATAACTTGTTATCGTCACATTATAATAAAGATACAATATAATCTTTAGAAAACAATTAATCCGCAGGGTGTTTGCAGTGGTAATTAATATCTGGAGAAATTTTAGTTACCAGTTGTTAAACATGCATGCACAAATATCATCACTTAGCAAACAAAACTCACCAGCAGTGAGCATTATTTTAGTTAAAAAGTGTAACTATGAAAAAAATGACTATAAAAACATCACAAAATAAACCAATTAGAACAAAAATGCACCACGATTTAACCTAAGAACCAACATAGTACTATGGACATCACAATATTATAGTTAATCTGTAATTATACATATATTTACATACATGCTTAATAGAGAGCCCTCAATAAAGCCCTCAAAAATAAATGCTCATGGTTTCGAAGCGAGCTTGTGGAAAATGTTCACATCCTTATCATTCATTGGTGTAAATGCATTAATGTAAATATCAATTGTAATTGGCAATAATGGTTTTCTTTTTTCTTACATTATAATGGTCATATATACACACTACTGTTCAAAAGTTTGAGCGCATTAAGATTTTTTTATGTTTTTGAAAGTAGTATCTTATGCTCAGCAAGGCTGTATTTATTTGATCAAAAATACAATAAAACTGTAATATTGTAAATATTACAATTTAAAATAACTGATTGAATATGTTTTAAAATGTAATTTATTTCTGATGCAAAGCTGACATTTCAGCATCATCACTCCTGTCTTCAGTGTCACATGGTCTTTCAGAAATCATTCTAATAAATAGAGCATAAGCTTCATCACACATTTCTGCTGAATAACAAGATAAAACAACAGAGGAACATCATGTATTAATTCATGTAGACATATCCACCTGCTACGATCCATTGGGAAGAGTTTATCTGACTGGAACAGGACGTTCTCTCTAGTTCTTACTACTGTACTCGTCAGTCGACCTCTTAGACTTATTACCATCTCAGCAGAGAGCGTTGGACGTTGGACATACGGTGAAATCCAGGTCTCATTCTGATATCATGTTATTCTGACCCTTATATTCTTGCATTACGACATGTTTGAGGTGACACTGTAACCTCTTATCTATATTTGATGCAAGCAGCTGCTCAAGTGATAACCAAGGGAAGATTCAGCTATAACTGCATGCAGATTGTTCAGCGGTGAGGCATCGCTCCACTCACGGTTATCTTGTTTATCTTGTCTCCTACAGAGAAGAAGCAGGAGAAAGCCGCGGCCAGCCCAGGTGAGTTGCATTATGACCGCGGGCTCAGAGCCAAGACTCTACTTATCTGCCTGCTGCACAGATTACCATTAATTACCAACTTATTATGAGCTCGTAGATACTGAGAGCAGACATAACCTCTCTGACATGGCTACAGTGGAATTACTTGTGCACTGTTTAGATGTAGAAAATGTATTTAACCTCTTAGGATCCAGTTTTTACTATTTAGTCTTTGCCGTTGTTATGTTGTTGTAGTATTTGGAGCATGAGTTTATTGTGTGTTCTCTATAGAGGACTTGAAGGAAAATTAAGACACTGTTAATTCACCAACCAATTTTAACTAATTTTGTTAGTTAAAGCACTTTAACATGCTTTTTGTAACAATTGATGGATGAAATATTGAAACAAATGGTTATTAAGATCTTTATATGGTGTATTTTTGTATGCACACTAGTATACATGCATGTCATAGCAGTGCTTACACTTCATAGGTCTTTAAAACAAACATGTTCTTTAGCATTTTGCCTCAGAAAATGTAACTTCCATTTAAATAGTTCATTTACTAACCCAGAATTCAAACACAATATTACAGAATGATTTGTTTATATAATTTGGTAACACTTTAAAATAAGGTTTGATTAGTTAAAGTTAGTTAATCCATAAGCTAACTTTAACTAATAATGAACAATACATTTGTTATAGTATCTATTGATCTTAGTTAACATAAGTTTATACAAATACAGCTGTCTATTGTTTGCTTACTATGTGTTAGCTCAGGCCCATTAAGATAATATTAACAGGTTTGACTTTTGATTTAAATAATGTATAAGTGTTGAAATGAACATAAATTAAGATTAGTAAGTGCTTTTAAAATATTTTAATTATTAATTAATGTTAAATAATCTAGTTAACAGATGGAACCTTACTGTAAAGTGTTTTTTATTCCTGATTTATTCCACATTTTGTGTAAATGCTGTTCCCAACCTTACACATACTAATTTTTCGCATTAACATTTTTATATTCTATAATACATTACTTATATTTTATCTTATATTTTACATTTTTATATAAACACATTTTGGGGGGTATCTTAAAATACAAAAAAAGCAGAGTATCATATATGTGAAATGTAAGTAATCTAAAGACAGCATGGAACAAAATTATTCTGTGCTTTGTAAACTTGCTATGGTTTTCCTGAGATATTTATGTAAGAATGTATTTTAAATTACAAATAAATATTTACAAAACAACATTACAGGATTACAAAATAATATACCTACACTTAAAGAAAAGTCTATAAAATAGGGCACAATGTACTTACTATCATGGAATTTTCTGTATTGATTTTTCACAGGTGTTTTACCTGTATTTTGAATTTACATTACATTGTTTTTATGTTTTGGGGTCCATAAACGTAACAGATAATGTCCTGGCAGAGAATTACCAGTACTTTTCCAGTTTTTTTCTTACAGTTTACTTTTTTTTCTTAAAATTGTTTTAATTCAAATATCAGACATTTATGAAATCAGACATGATATCACACATTTTAATACCCAAGGATAGGAAGTTGGCATCGCCAAACTCCCAAACATTTCGAAGAAGTCCTTTTCAAGATGTGCGAGTGGATCTCATTAATCAAACGTTCTCTGGTGAGGACAGAAATAAGTTGCTGGATCCTAAGAGGATAAACTAAATCTGACACATCCATTAACATGACTGATATGTATTTCTTTCTATTATCCTCTCATCTGGTGGCGTGTGTGTGTGTGTGTGATGTCTGAAGTTGTGTGTTATGTTGCTGACCGTACTGAGCTGCGCAGACGTGTGATCGACTGGCTGCAGACCGAGGTTGTTCCAGATGGCTGGTTCACTAAGGGCTCCAACTTCACTGATATCCTCCTCAAGTACTTCAAGGTGTGTGCAGACAGTCATTTACAACATTAAACCAGCAAGAATTTGTATAGAGAAGTATTTTAAGTCACAACCCACAGGCAACAACATAGTTTTTTCATGCACTGGTCAGTTTTGAGATTTTGGGCTATTTGTGTCTTATAATGTGTTGTTTCAGAGTTGAGAAAACATGAAAAATACATTTCAATCATGACAACTCTCTGAACATTTTAGCATGATGATAGATATGACAATGTTTATGTATTTGGTCTTGGCGGAACAGATCTGCTCCGCTGCTGCTGCTGAATTGCTGCTGCTGTTGGTTATTGCTGTAGTTGTAGATTATTGCTGCTGCTGCAAGCAAGTACAGGAACTTGCTACTGCCAAAGCATATGGCGATACGGTGCCATGAGTATTTAAGACATGCTGCTGCTGCACAAATAGCATATAAAATAACCCCGTAGCAGATCTATACAGGTGGAGCTGGGGAAGGTGGAGGGTTTCAGAGAACTCTGAAAGCGCGCTGCAGGAATCTCAAGTGAATGCTAGCCAGCCATATAAATGCAAGGCAGTAAGCTCATTGGCTGCATATGCTGCATGAACCAATCAGCTTGTGCCAAGTCATTTAACTCTCTGAATATCATCAGTTACGTTAACACCCCGTCAGAATGCGCCATCTAGATTTTCATGACTGAACTATATATATTTAAGTGTTTATTATATTTATCTATTTTTATCTGAAGAGTTCAGTTACAATACATAACTTCAAAGGTCGTTTTCTCAAAAATATTTTTTTTTTCATACACTGAGCCAGACATTTCAGTAGCCACTTCAGTAGCACTTACACCAAACTTTATTATTATTTTTTTTTTTTTTCAGTTTTATTTATATTCTGACGTTTTTTACAAGGGGGTTTGTTCATGTATCATTCACCTGACATTAACATTTTATTCCTAAAAACATGGTGCAAAAGTATTTATTTTCTTGCTGTTTTGAGTCTGGCTTTCAAGTGTTCTTGAACATTATGCAAATTAGTGCATAGTTAATTAAACAGTTAGATGACTTATTTGCATATTTATGCAATTTCATTACAAAAAAAAGTCTGCAATTCTTAATGTAATCAATCAACTAGTGAAGTATGCTTGTGTTTATTAGTTATTTTTTTTACCCAATTTTTACCCTATTCATCTGGATGTCTTGGCTAGACATTTCAAAAATGTTCTCAAAATAACATATAAAGCCCAACAATATGCAGAATTATTAACATCATAACAGAAGCAGAACATATGTGAACATTTTGGTTTCCAAATGTCTATAAATGTACAAACACAAATGTTTGATGACTGACTGAAGCATATTCAGTGTATTTCAGTGAAAGAAATGACATTTTTTGCAGCATAAAAGCAGCCATTTGCTTTGGTCCCTTCATCGTCAGGGCTTTGTGTATATTACCCTCCAGCAGGCAATCTCTGCGCCCTCCTGCCGCTCTTCAAAGTGCCTTCAGGACGCGCCACATCATTTCTCTGACAGGCGTGTATAAATACACCTAAAACGACTTCTGTTTGCATAGCAGCAGTTCAGGCAGTCATGCTTTTTTGATGTTTCAATATTAGCTCACCTTTGCACTTAGAGAGCTGAAGAACAAGCCTGTACAGCTGTCAGCACAATCCATACATCTGACTGAACACTATCACCAAACCAATAATCCATATGCTTATCAAATCAGCTTTATCTAAAATAATTAAAGGGACAGTTCACCCAGAAATGAATTTCTGTTATTATCTGTATGACTTTCTTTTGTGGAACACAAAAATATATATATTTTTTTCCATACAGTGGAAGTCAGTGGGGTCAAATGTTGATTTGGACCCCACTGACTTTAATTGTATAGACCAAAAGAGCGAAAACATTACACAAAATATCATCTTTTGTCTTCCACAGAAGAAAGCGTTTTTTCAGGTTTGTAACAACATGAGGGTGAATAAATCATGCCAGAATTGTAATTTTTAGGTGAACTATTCCTCCAGTTGGTGGAAGTTCGACTCAATCATAAACATGTCCTTTACCTCTTGTTTATTGGTGAACATGTCAAAATCAGCTGTACCAGGCAGAGTACATTCAGAGTACAGAGTACATACAGAGCACGATGTGTAAGTTTCAAAGTAGCTGATGTCTGTGGTCACATGATCACTGGTCTATGTGTCTGTATATCCTGAAGACTTTTCTATGGCTGTTTTAGGTGTCAGTGCATGTTTATCACTATAGATCTTTTCTACAGAATGGGATGACATGTTTCCACAGTTATTAACATTGGAAATATATATGACATCTTTCTCTCTTCTGACCAGTGTAATCAATCTCTCGATATTTTTCCTCTTTTGTAAAGTCATAGAAACACTGCCATTTTTTTTGCTATTGGAGCAAAAGTGAACACAATATTATTTGTTGTAGTTTCCATTCCCCACTATAGAAGTTTCCCCAAATATGATGACTTTTTTTCTTTTGAGAGCCCCGGAAATGTGAAAAGGGTCCATATGTGACCCTGGACCACAAAACCAGCCATAAGGGTCAATTTTTCAAAATTGAGATTTATACGTCATCTGAAAGCTGAATAAATAGGCTTTCCATTGATGTATGGTTTTGTTAGGATAGGACAATATTTGGCCGAGATGCAACTATTTGAATATCTGGAATCTGAGGGTGCAAAAAAAATCTAAATACTGAGAAAATCACCTTTAAAGTTGTTCAAATGAAGTTCTTAACAATGCATATTACTAATCAAAAATTAAGTTTTAATATATTTACAGTAGGAAATTTACAAAATATCTTCATGGAACATGATCTTTACTTAACATCCTAAGGATTTTTGACATAAAAGGAAAATCAATAATTTTGACCCATGCAATGTATTTTTGGCTATTGCTACAAATATACCCCAGCGACTTAAGACTGGTTTTGTGCTCCAGGGTCACATATATTGTAGCACACAATCTGGCTTCTTCTCTCATCTAGACCTGCTGCCATACACACATTTGCAGATGACTCGATAGATAGCTGAAATGATCAGATCATCAGACACATCAGTTATCAGAGCAAACGGCCCAATCCCATTTCAGTCTCATTTCCTTTTCCTCTCTTCAAATAATATACATATGATAACCCCACTGAAACTGCTACCTGACTGAAACTGAAGTGTGCAAAAATGATTTTTTTTGTCTCTTATAGAATTCTGATAACGGAGACTCTCAGCTGGATTCTGCAGAGCTGCTCAAGTTCATTCAGCACAATGAAACAGCAGTTCAGATGAACTCTTACGCTGAAGAGGAGAACAACCGCCTGCTCAGGTTAAAACACACACACAGTCACATAATCACACATGCGCATATGTACACTACCGTTCAAAAAGATGGGGTCAGTAAGAATTTAATTTTAAAAAAAAAAGACTTTTACACTGTTACAAATATTTTACTTGAAATAAATGTTGTTCATTTTGAACGTTCTCTTCGTCAAATAATTTTTCCTGAAAAAATAAATAAAATAAAATAATTAAAAATGTGTCCACAAAAATATTAACCTGCACAACTGTGATAATAGTAAGAAATGTTTTTGAGCAGCAAATCAGTATATTAGAATGATTTCTGAAGGATCATGTGACACTTAAGACTGGAGTAATGATGCTGAAAATTCAGCTTAAGCAGGAATAAATTACATTTTTTAATATATTAAAATAGAAAACAGTTATTTTAAATTGTAATAATATTTCACCATATTACTGATTTTAGTCAAACTTTTTACTATATTTTTGATCAAATAAATGCAGCTTTACCGACCTCAAACTTTTGAACAGTAGTTTACAAAATGCAGTCTGTTGTGACACATGCTGGTTTCCTCTAATAAAAACCAAATCTGCAATATTTTAACACAACTGTTCATTGGAATGCAAAAGAGAGGCTATGATATAGTTCAAAATATAATCTTTTCTAAATGAGGAGTGAATTTATATTTTTGAGAGAACAATCCCTAGCCTACACCATAGTTATAATCATCTCCGTCACATTGGACTTCTTCCTGTTTCTCTCACAGTAGAGGTTATGTGAGTTTGTGTCCATCCGTCTGTCAGGATGAGCCAGAGGGGGAAAAAACTCCATCTACAAACAGTGATAAAGCCAAGCAAACATTTCACTGCATATCCGGTTAGCTAGATAGTGTATTGGAAACACAAACAAGTCTTGTATTTTTGACCCTTGTGATCACATCTGAATAAAATGTGTATAAATGATCCCTACATGTATCTCTCAGGAGCCTTTGTGTGGACGCTCTTATTGAGCTCTCAGATGAGAACGCCGACTGGAAACTGAGCTTTGATGAGTTCCTCAACTGCCTGAAACCAGGCTTCAACCCTCCTGAGAAGAGTGAGTCTCTGTCTGTCTTGCTTCAGTCTGCACCAGCATGGAGTTTACAAAGTCTTTGTTGAGCCAGCAGGCAAAAGTCCGAAATGTTGTTGCATCCAGAAACTCTGAGCAGCACAAAAACACATGACAGCTGAAATTCAAGCCACATATGTGAACAAACGATTCCATCACTTGCATAATGACAACGTGGACAGTCAAGATTTATTAGCAGTGTAAACAACTTTTACTGTCAAGGAGCAATTGTAATTCCTTTGGAGTTGGCCGTTTTGCTTCCTTATTGAAGTTCCTTCTTATATTCAAAGTTACATTCCAGAGTTTTCCCAGAATTGTAGTTCTGTGAGGCAGAGAGGGAGCGAACGCGGGGTTTTCCGCTCTTCCACAGAATGTTCCTCAGGCTCCACATGCAGAACTAGGAGAAAGTTCAGTGGGAGGAGCTGCCTTCTCTGGCATCGTATGAAGCAACTTTTACACATGCAAACTCAAAACCAGTGCTGATGTTGATAAATGAAAGTTGAAAGACTAAAATGACTAAAACTACTATATAAAAATAAACTAAAGTTAAATAGAGATATTAAAAACAACAACTTATAGAAATGACAAAAACAAACTACTAAAACCAATTCAAAATGTACTATAATAATATATAAACAATACAAAAAAATAATCCTGCTCAGAACATAACCTCTGTGTGTCACAGGATATAAAAAGGACATACTAGAGAAGAATATAAAGATCAGAAGAAGGATATATGACATTTATAAATTCTGTTGACAGTAAACTATAGCATTCATAGCAGCATTGCTGTGTCATATCAGATCAGAATCAAAAGCAGATGTCCTGGCTTCTGCTTTTGATTTGACTTGCCATGATGGTTGAGAAATCCTCAGAAGAAGGATATATGACATTTATAAATTCTGTTGACAGTAAACTATAGCATTCATAGCAGCATTGCTGTGTCATATCAGATCAGAATCAAAAGCAGATGTCCTGGCTTCTGCTTTTGATTTGACTTGCCATGATGGTTGAGAACCACACTCTTCAGTCATGTTCATTTACCCCAGTTTCTCCTGGATGGTTGTAGCAGCATAGTCATTCCACAGTAATTTCCTGGTTTGTATTTGGGAATCTGGGACACAGGCATACAGTTTTTTGGTTGCAGACACAGCCATGCAATGCAAGCCTTTCAAATGGTGATTTTCAGACAGCTTTTGCTGATTTCAGCTTAGTTTATATAGTGTTGGTAATCAAGATAAAATTTTTGGAGCCTCATTTTGAAAATCATTGTGGTAACATGGTTTGTGTTATCACAGAGTGTGCTCTGGAAGATGAGACCTATGAGGATGGAGCCGAGACGCAGGTGGAGTGCAACCGCTGCGTCTGCGCATGTGGAAACTGGGTCTGCACTGCCATGACTTGTGATGGTGAGTTGAAATCACCAAATTCATGATAGAAAAGGAGAGAGTGGGGTAAGCTGTGCCAGTTTGCTCTCTAGTCAAAGCGAAAGAAGACTGGGACCTAATTATATTTCAGGAAGCATCAATAATAAAGGCCATAGAAATATGACTTGTCACCCCCGCATGAGCAGTACTGATTCCATTGTATAATAAACTGAAAATGAGACCGACTCTCTCCACAGAGAAAACCCCAGTTATCGACACTGATGGGGATCAGGAGATGACTGAAGAGGAATGGACCCGCCGTGTGGCTGAGCTCAACAAGCATCAGGTCAGCTGACTGACTTCATTCACAGCAAATTAATCAGTAATGTCAATATCTATCCTTGAATGTCCTGTCTAATAAAGGCTAAAAATGCCATAAATAAATAAATACATTAATATTTCATTCAGCACTGGAAAAAAATTAATAAAACATACACTACCAAAAAAACCTAAGAAATTAATATTTACATCTATTCAGCAGTGATTAATTAAATTGATCCAAAGTGACAAAGACATTTGTAATGTTCCAAAAGAGTTCTGTTTCAAATAAATTCTGTTCTTTTATAGTTTCTATTCATATTTTAAACTTACTGACCCCAAACTTTTGAACAGAAGTGTAATTTAATCAAATTAAAAACAATTTACCAAATATTTTAACCTGTTTAATCCCAATTTTTTTTTTCAGAAATGAAAATATCCAAATGATGTGTCATTATTAACCATTTAAAAATAATATATATTTTTTTAATTTTGGGGGGGGAAAGTGTGTGAAAAATTGTGTTTTATGGTCGGTGGGATAATGTGGTTACTGAATTAACATATTTCTGCAGTCATAAAAATTGTTATATATTTCAGCCCAGCTATTTGAAACTCTGTTTGATCACATTCTAGGGTTACAATTATGCATAAAAACCCTTATACAACACTGATAGCAATGCTGAGATAAAATGCAAAAAAAAAATACAGCCCTCAACATATTTCAAAATTGTTACTTTATTGTATCATATATCATAAAATCATTATATTAGTGCTACCAGTATTACAACATCAATATTGTAACTTATTTGTAACATTTGAACTTTTAATTTAGTGCAATATTTTGTGATTGCAACATTTTAGTGCATTTTTCACTAACAACTGCAATTGGATTTTTTGTATACCTAAATTCACTGTTATCCCACCGGTCACAATTGTGACCATCAACGTGTTTACTGATTCTATGACCACACTCAACAAATTTCAGTTGTGAATTCATATATTTATACTAGACACCTTAAAGCTAATGTGGACCAAAAATCTTTGTCATATCTTTATGCCAAAATACTTTACTAGCCTTTTGTTTTGGACCTTTGATGCAGTTATCATCTTCTTATGGTGGAAACAGGAAATAAACTGCTCTGGTCATGTGACAATTTGCACTAACCGTGTGAAACTGAAAATATTTTAAACATCAAGTAAGCTAAGTTTCTCTGTGTGGTGCTGCCTGTGTTTAATCTTCGAAACTGGTCACTTGTGGGCTTCCATTTTAAAGGGGTCATATGATGCGATTTCAATTTTTCCAGAAACAATAATGTACAGTATGTGGAAAATAATGTGTTTTTTGAACCTTAAACCGCATAAACACATTTCATTACACCAAATACACAAAATAATGTTCTTTTTAGTAGCATCATATGACCCCTTTAAACATTACAGTTATGCCTTACAAGATAGCATTCAGAAAATGTGTTTTTACTTAGTGTTTATTACTTCACATAATGTGATGCAGGCACACAGACACTGAATCCCTCAGTAAAACTGGAGCTTGCTGATTTAAGGAGAATTTTATGCCCTCACACTTATGCTCTTAAAATAAGTCAAGTGAAGTAACATTAACCACAAAATCATGGGACTTGCATAGTAAGTGGTGTATTGATGTGTAGATATCATTGATACAAAAATCCAGAACTGGCTAGTTCAAGTCCAGGCAGGTTTCCCTGAGCCTGAGGCAGGACTTAAGTTTGTCATTTCAACTGACTAATACACTGTTTAGAGGCTGTAAACTGCAGGTGGTGACCTTCCTCGTGGGCTGTTACATGTCATTTTACTAACTGCTTTTTGATTTTCAGAGTGAAATATAAGCTGATGCAGTCAGTTTGATTGCCTGAGGCAGACTTATAACGTTTTCCCTCCTTCAGGAGACTGTGGAGAAGATGAAGACCAGCACAAAAGAGGTCTAAAACAGGACCGAGACACGAGGAGGGAGATGACGTGGACGAATTCCTCTCCTACTGATCACAGTCAGGATTCCTGAGATTATGTACTGTTAATGGAAGAATCACACCGTTTTCTATAGATAGGTTATTACTTTTATTGCTATCCATACCGCATCTATTCTCTGGTTAATGTGTTTTATGTTACGGTTTGCTTTTCTACGTATTGCATTAGCTTTGTTTGTTCTTTTGTGTCTTTGAGTGCTGTAAATTGTTTGATTGTGTCACTCCAAACAGGCCTCAGCACTTTATAATGGGGGCCCTTCCCTTGTTTTATTCACTATTGTTTGATTTGATGTATCATTCTTTATACCATTTATTTGTTTGTCTATCTACAGTTATATGTGGACATATGTTGTTGTTGTTTTTTTTTGATTGAGACAATGGCAATAGAAGAAGAAAAAAAGAATAGGAAAGGGTTCGAGAGTGATGCTGAGAGAGCAAAACAACACAGGTTCATCCATCAAACTGTGATTTTAGAGCTTCAGAACGAGAGATATCCTTCAGTCAGATGGTAGATACTCGTGCTAGTAGGAGCTTGATGGATATAAATGCAAACTAAATGAAGCTAATCATGGCCGCTCTCTCTTTCACTCTCATCTTGAAGGCAGTCATAGTCTTGAGACCTTTCGTAAAGGTGCTAATGTTAGTATTCCTCTGTTTGCTGCTTTGCTCTCTTGCTTTAGACGGTAGATAACGCTCGGTAGGATATACAACACTAGAAGCAGAGACAGCGTGGCTCAGTGGAGAGAGCAGGCAATACCTTTGAATTTAATATCATTTTGGGAAAACAAACCCACCATGTTATTATTACTTGACAAACATGCTTTTTCTGCCATTAGCGACTTCGATTAGAGTAGATCACCTCCGTTAGTAGAAAACTGCTGCACAGATGCATTGGCTACGCTTGAGCTTGTATTTATATTAGTTGCTAGAGGCAGTTCATGCTGAAACTCTCACGCTGTGCTCAGTCCCACCAAGAAATGAACTAACAAGCCAGATTTATAAGAAATAAAGCAGTTGGGACTGAGTACAGATGGAGTGATCTGAAACCAAAGCCTGATGTTTAAATTGTTGTACGAAAACCTCCAGATGTACCACTACTCTGGACCCAGCAACTACTTTATACCTTTTACGTAAAATAACTGTCAGAATAAGGATTAGATTCGCTATTGCCTCTGTAGTGTAGTTGCATTCTTACCCACTCTAGAGAATTTGTGTGTATGTGTGCAAAATGCACTTGTGTGTGTGTTAGATCATTTAATTTCCACTATATTCCACTAACAGTACGGATCCTTTGTGGTAATGAGTGCCTTATATACACAAACTGTGTGCTATGGATGAAGTGGCTTCTTCTGTAGGTATAAACCACCTAATATAGGACACAGTGCACATGAATTTTCCAGTATTACGGTAGACAACTAGCAATTGCCTTTTATATGTCTGTATGATTGTCTTATTCAATGGGGCAGAATTAAAACATTTTATTGTAAAAACTCTTGTTCTGTTTTATTCATATTTACTTCTCTGATTATTATTTGAAATGTAATTTGTGCTAATAATAATGTAATAATAAAAATAAAAGGTTACAACCCTTTGATATCTTAAGCCTTACAAAAATGTATTCTGATCTATTGTGTGGATTTTTTATTTTTATGTTCCTTTTGGAAATAAATGGTATCCTGCATAACTGTTTTGAATGTGGCTTACATATTTCCCTCAATTCACAAGTGGCTATAAGATTTTGTTACATGAAAGACATACTATTGCACAGAAAAGCATTGTTTATAGGTTTTCATAATGTTTTAATGTCTGCGTTAATCCATTTATTTCGTTCCAATTTATAATTTCTAGTCAGTTTTTACAGATTTTACACCGGTAATTAGATTCAGTGGTCAATAAAATGCCATTAAATCACTGCTGATTGAAACTTTGCATCACTTCAACGTTTTAATTAATGTATAGTTTTCGATTTTAGTTTGTTGAATTAGACATATATAGTTTCTAGGTTTATTTGAGTATTATTTATAGACTATTATAGTATTTATTAATATTTTGAATTAACCTTTGTTTATATATTTTCAGCTTTCATTATAATTAAAGTGTATTTATTCATTTATTTTAGTTCTTGTTTCAGTCACTTTAGTAGGCTACTAGTTCCCAGCTAAACATTCCTATTTTTTTTAAATGCACTGCTGATTGAAACTTTGCGTCACTTCAACGTTTTAATTAATGTATAGTTTTCGATTTTAGTTTGTTGAATTAGACATACAGTGGGTACGGAAAGTATTCAGACCCCCTTAAATTTTTCACTCTTTGTTATATTGCAGCAATTTGCTAAAATCATTTAAGTTAATTTTTTTTCCTCATTAATGTACACACAGCACCCCATATTATAGTATTTATTAATATTTTGAATTAACCTTTGTTTATATATTTTCAGCTTTCATTATAATTAAAGTGTATTTATTCATTTATTTTAGTTCTTGTTTCAGTCACTTTAGTAGGCTACTAGTTCCCAGCTAAACATTCCTATTTTTTTTAAATAAGTTTTTATCTAATATTTATATTTTATAGCTTTATTTCAGTTACGATTTTAATAAATTTAGCTATAGCAAACACTGGTTTCTGAGGGAAACCAGTTACAAAGCATGACTAGTTTGACAAATATCCTAATAAATGTACTCCCTTGTAGTATTAAATCTATCTGTTAAAAAATAAACAGTCAAAGTTATGAAAACTCTGCCACCTCGAACTGACCCTATAGATAAAACAGAAGATGGATGGGTTACGAAAAGAAATTAACTGATTTCTATAATGAAATAAGCTGTGCTGGCATAACCAGCAAAATGACCCTAAAAACTAAAGAAAATAAATGCTTTTGATTAATTTCATGGATTTTAAAGATAAGAGACTGGATAAGTCGTTCTAGAAGAGAAGAAAGGAAAGTTTGTTCGAGTTATTTGTAGTATAAAACATGTTAGGCAACGCGATAGTTCTAGTATGGCAAGCCGTTTTAGCTTAAAATATTACCAGATCGTCCTAATTGCATTTTTACTAGTAACAATTAATTTAGAGAGCTCCATAATTAAATTCCTACTAGTAACAATGCCAATTAGAGAGCTCTCTAAATCAACTTTTACTAGTTACAATTACAATTAGACAGCTCTCTAATTTAATTAGTAACAATTATGATTAAAGAGCTCTCTAATTCAATTGTTACTAGTAACAATTTAATTATGGATCTCTCTTGAATTAAAGAGCTCTGCAATTACATTCTTACTAGGAAGAATTACAATTAGACAGCTCTTTAATGCAATTCTTACTAGTAACAATTGAATTATAGAGCTCTCTATCTGAATTAGAGAGCTCTGTAATTGGAATTCTTGCTAGTAATAATTGAATTAGAGAGCTCTCTAATTATAATTGTTACTACAATTGTTACATCACAGCCATATCACCCTGTAGCCCAAGACTGGTCGCCCACTGAAGCTAAGCAGGGTTGAGCCTGGTCAGTACTTGGATGGGAGACCTCCTGGGAAAACTAGGTTGCTGTTGGAAGAGGTGTTAGTGAGGCCAGCAGGGGGTGCTCACCCTATGGTCTGTGTGGGTCCTAGCGCCACAATACTGTCAACAAGCACCGTCATTCGGATGAGATGTTAAACCGAGGTCCTGACACTCTGTGGTCATTAAAAATCCAATGGCACTTCTCGTAAAGAGTAGGGGTGTAACCCCGGTGTCCTGGCCAAATTGCCACATTGGTGGTGGATGAGGAGACTCCCCCTCACAATGTAAAGCGCTTTGAGTGCCTAGAAAAGCGCTATATAAATGTTTATTATTATTATTATTGCTAGTAAGAACTGAATTAGAGAGCTCTGTAATTGGCATTGTTACTTGTAAGAATTTAATTGTAGAGCTCTCTAATTGAATTGTTACTAGTAAAAATGCAATTACGACGAGTAACGCTGGGAGTATTTTAAGCTAAACCGGCTTGCCATAGTTCTAGCAAAGGGTTAATACAGTCGGGCGGAGCCAAACTCCAGTGGAGCCCCGAAACATGAATGTTAAATTGTGAACGCTTGATAGACAGACCGTCTTTGATAATGACTGTAATGTGTGGGTTGCCAACCGCCAATAAACACCAAAGAAGAAGAAGAAGAAGACTGTAATGTGTAAATGCTGCCATTAGGCCGAGTTATTTAGGTTACACATGGAAGATCGGGACGCTTGGCGTTGGAAGTAAACTCGGACATAGTGTTGGGAAACAGCTTGAACCAGAAGAAAGGGGTCTTTTTTTCCGTTATCGGCTATTAAAATGGAGGGTTATGAAGGAGCCAGCAGCAGCGAGAGTGTTTTAGATCTGTCCCGTTTGAATCTGAACAATAATAGTTTGGACACGGTCAGCGAGAAACGACGGAAAGACACGAAGCAATTGTACCTGTGTTACAACCGATTGACGGTTTTACCCGAGTCCATCTCTTTATTCTCGAACCTGGAGTTTCTCGACATCAGTAACAACACGCTGTCGGTCATCTGCGAAGACATTACCCGACTGACCAAACTCAAAACCCTCATAGCCAAGAACAATCGTTTAAATGACTTTTCTCTGCCCAAGCACTTTGGCTCTCTGCAGCTGGAAGTGCTGAATTTTAGTGGGAACAGGTTTGAGGAGATGCCGAGCCAGTGTCTGCAGCTGCTGCGACTACAGTCACTGTCTCTGGGAGGAAACAGACTGAAGAGCATCCCAGCAGAGATTGAGAGTCTCACCAGGTAATGCACAGCACAAACATCTGCACGCACCTTGACTTTCTTAAAACACTGCACAGCCTAGCCTAGGGAGCTCACGTCGAGGCCGCCACTCTTTGGAGGACTGCCATACTACACTTTGCTCTTGTGGTTTGCTCGGTGTAATTAAAGTCTAATGATTAAATCGCCTAACTTCCTAGGTCATTCCCGTTAAGTGGTTCAGTGTCGCTAATCTTATGTGTCCTAATTTGTTGAACAAGATAGCAAACTCAAGAGTTTTAAAAATATATTAATTATATCGTAATATTAATTTCAAATAATTTCACAACCTTGAGCAGATGTTATTTTTGTAATGTACCTGAGTGTCAACTTCCTGGAGCATGACGTCATTGTGTGACGTCATGCTCCAGGAAGTGACATCATTTTAGGTAGGAAAGTGTATATCAGTAAGCGTAAAATGTAAATTGCTATAATGACTACAATGGTTATTTGATTTGACACGCATAAACTCACATCCTTGTTGCGGTAGTTATATGTATTTAACAATAGCTATGTTTACACGGAACCAAATGATGTTAGTAATAGTAATGTTAGATTGATGGCTAAATCGGACTGAAAATCAAATCCAATTGAGCTTGATCCAAATGAAATTTAGAGTGGATTGGAAGAGATGGTGTAGTATGATAAACAGGGGGAAAAAATAATCATGCAAACATTTGAAATTAATCCGACTTTTTTTTTTTTTTTAATCTGATTTAAAAATATCTTGTTCTCATAATGTTCACATAAATAGCAAATATTACTAAATATTTGCAAAAAAAAAAAAAGCTCTTCTGACATATAAGCATTCTTTTTAGATATGTGAGCCTGGACCACAAAACCAATCATAAGGGTCAATTTTTCAAAATTGAGATTTATACATCATCTGAAAGCTGAATAAATAAGCTTTCCGTTGATGTATGGTCTGTTAGGACAGGACAATATTTGGCTGAGATACAACTATTTGAATAAACTATTGGAATATGAGGGTGCCAAAAATCAAAATATTGAGAAAATCGCCTTTAAAGTTGCCCAAATGAAGTCCTTCGCTATGCATATTACTAATCAAAAATAAGTTTTAATATATTTAATGTAGGAAATTTACAAAATATATTCATGGAACATGATCTTTACTTAATATACTAATGATTTTGGCATAGAAGAAAAATCAATAATTTTGACCCATACCAAATGACCCCAATGTATTTGAATGAATGAATGATGCATTTATATAGCGCTTTATTGTGTATTGTTGTTCACCCAAAGCACTTTACAATCATGTGGTGGGGGGGGTCTCTCCTCAACCACCACCAGTGTGCAGCATCCACTTGGATGATGCGACTATTTTTGGCTATTGCTAAAAATATACCCGTGCTACTAAAAACTGGTTTTCCAGGGTCACATATGTCATCAAGGCAAAAGTGACTATTATCACGGTAGGGATGCATATTTGTGAAGTTTTGTTACCTGAATGTAAATATACCTAATGTGTTAGCATTTATGTAGCAACTCTCTCACTGATCAAATTGCTTCAACTCTTTATTTCAGTTTTATTGTCTTGTGTACATAATCAAGTTATAATTGTCTGGGTCTGAGACGCTTAAAATTTAAGTGTAAAATTAGCTATATAGACCAAAATCATTTTTTGAACCAGGCTGTAAACTTGTTTTTTTTTGCTGTAAAGTTGGGCATTTTAACATGGGGAGTCTATGGGATTGACTCCATTTTACAGCCAGCCTCTAGCGGCCAGTTGACGAATTACAGTTTAAGTCACTTCCGTGTTGGCTTCACGAGAGAGAGCGGGAGGTTGCCGCTTGGTTGGCCCGCATTACACACAGAGTTGGTCCTTTTCGAGAGATCTGGACCTCTTTTCCCTCTGCCATCTCTGCCTGCTGTGGCAATCGTAGAGACTAAGCCGAGATGGGCTGGCGAAAGGAATGAGGTATTGAAGCAAAAATGAATGCCTCTCTTCAGGGAGGACAACAAATGGACAAAGTGGCCAGTAGGGTAAAACACTAGAAGATCTCTCACTCGCTCCTTTGCTCTCAGTGCCTCATTCTTTTGGAGAGGAAGGTTTCCTTTCATTTCCATGGGAGGTTAAAAAAAGATTCTCAGCAATGAACTAAATCAACTCTTGAGATGAATCACAATGTTACAAACATTGATTTGAGGCAGAAAAGACAAAGGTACAAAACGATGTACTTAATAGTCATCTCATAAAGTGCTGGACGTGTGTTGTCTAGGACAGAAGTGTTTGTGATACAACAATCGGGATGTTTGCAGAAGATATCTCTGTTATCATGAAACACTGATCTGTATTGGCTTAAAAACAGCTGAAGGTGAGCGATTTCCTCATAGCCTTTGCGTGTTAGTGGTGATCTTTTTTGCATGTCTGCATTTCCTCACTGGAAGGCTTCCTACCAGGATAAGAAACCTATAGTTATCCTTTATCAGTGGCAGTAACCATAGGGCAGAATTACTATTGATTTTGAAGATACTTTAATACAGTTGTTCTTATTAGCAGGTCAGGGCCCACTAGGGGACATTGGCAAACTTCCAGGGAGGCCCAAATAAGTACAATTATTTAAATTTAGTTACAGTATACAATACATGAATGTACAACTGTGTTCTTACTGTGATTTTGTCACTATTTTGACATTGTTTTGTTTATAACATTTTGTCACAACCCTTCTCTCTCTCTAGCTTAGAGCTGTTGTATCTGGGCGGTAACCAGATCTCCTCCATCCCTGCTGAACTAGCTAACTTACCCTGCCTCAGTTACCTAGTTCTGTGTGATAATCGCATCCAGAGCGTCCCACCTCAACTCAACAGGTAAGTCTGAGATGTCACGCAAATACTTGCTAACAAAGTGTGTCTATTTGTCCTTTAAGGTTGCACGGTTTGAAAAACACATTTTGCAATTATTTTGAGGATAAGCATTTACAGAGGCGGACAGTAAAAAAGTACATTTACTTGAGTATTGTACTTAAGTGCACTTTTTGAGTATCTGTACTTTACTTGAGTATTATTTTTTCTGGGAACTTATGACTTTAACTTCACTACATTTGAAAGACAAATATTGTACTTTTCACTCCACTACATTTCTATCAAG